CAGAGGTGAATACATAAATAATTAATACATCCATTGTGTAGATGCGGTTTGTAATATTTTTTTTCACAAATGTGCCTGTTTTTCGGCAAAGTGTCCATCTTACCTGCCAATCATTTTGATCATTCAGGGATGCAAGTTGGTATGGATCAATGTAGACGCCTCTGGGCCATCTATGAACCAGCAAAACCCTGAGCCCGCTGAGCACATCAGTGCTGAGCTCAACAGTGGTTACAACCTCCCTAAACACAGGAGAAATCATTTACTCATTCCACTCACAAGGAGCCTTGGAGATGGGTTTTGTTCCATGTTTTAAAATACACCAAAAACAGTACCTGTGGAAACCCTTTTTGCTGACCTCCACTGAAACTAATGAGGATTCAAGCAACTGCTTCAGAGGACCACACTGGTTTTCATTCTTCTCATCTATTGGTCAAGACCAGAACAGACTGTAATACATTTATGGCCGACTTAATTATTTATATTGTTAGTTCTGATAACGTCAAAGTATCCCTATCCTGCCAGAAACTTTACCAAAATTAAGTTAAAAGTTTGGGTGACACACGAAACTAATCAGGGATTTAAATTCACAGGGCTTTATTGGCATGGGAAACAGACGTGTACATCTCATAGACTGTATGGTACATCGCCAACCCACGTGGGAAATAAAAACATGTAAATAAACAGAAAAAGTTAGATTTTGCTAACTTTATCTGTCAGAATCTGCTTTAGAAAGGTCCAACAATATGCCTTACCCTTTTTGATCAAACAATGACATGTCGATAGACAAGCCAACGCAGAGACCAGTACCAAATACATCAAAGCTATAATGGTGAACTACAAAACGTTTTATTTACAGCATAAGTATTCTGTTTATTTAGCTACAACGGAAATAATTGGTGCTCTTTTCAATTGTTTACGGAAAAGGATATTGAAGGACCCTTTTGTATTTTTCGGGAAGCTGTGACAGTGCCTGACTAGAAAGAAAAAATAAACGGACATTTTGGGAAAGCTCTGATGTAATAATTAAGTATAAGAATGGATGCTCACACCATCACTTATCATCGATTACTGTCATCGTAGGTGAAACACTAAGACCTTAAAATATTTACTCTAAATATAAACAGGCTTCGGTGTAGGCAGACTAAGGTTATGCACCAAACAACCGTTGAACGCTAATCGTCTCTAAAACTTGCGGACACATTTGTCAAATAGTTTTATTATCATAGCTAAAATGTTTTTAGTTTTTTACCGCTGAACTCCCAACTGGAGACCAGGTGAAACTAGGTTTTCTGCAAACATAGAACAGAAGATGAGTTTCGAGGCAAAGCGATGTGGAGTGCAGTTCAGTCCTCCATCTATAGTTTTAATTTATGAACACAAGGAAACCCAAAAGGTCCGGAAAAGAATTATACCTGTGCGGAACTTCTCTAAATATTCTGGTAAGGAAACACGATTATTTTGCAACTCACACAAGCAGACAACTTTTCTCCCCTGGGGATCTCCCAGGTCCATGTAACGTTAACACATTTTCAGGATATCAGAATATAAATAAAGATGGCTGTAGCAACAGTTTCTGGCTCAGTGGTAATCCCAGTAATCTCACTGGATTTCTAGCAGAATTTCTAAAGATGTGGGCCCCTAAAATCTACCAGTCAGTTACTGCTACCATTTCTTATTTTATAGTACAGTCATTGCTCATTATATATTAATTTATTATTTCACTAAAATACAGTGTTCAATTTACACCACCCAGTCGAAAAGTGCCACTGGCCTTCAGGCTGGAGTACCAGCTGGGCACAGTGCGTAACTGCTACTGTTTTGCAATTACTTTGTGTTAATTTGATCAACTGCTACTTTTTATGGAAATACACACCAGTAAAGCACTATTCAAACTGTAAAAATGAGGGCCTTGTGGGGGCTCTTTCCGATATTGAGGCCCTCTCTTGTCAAGGACTCTGTTTAAAAAACTTATTTATGTCAGTTGATGTTATGCCCCCATGATACATATTCCTAAATTAATTTGTGCTTAAACAAATGACCACAAACCAACTGCGCAAGAAGACTTGCAGAATAGAAGGTTTCTGGGTAAACTGTGTGCACTGTACCTGATGGCAACTGATTACATACATACTGCTCAGAGTGGGAGGAACAGGGGGTCAATAGGGGACCCCAACAAGTTAATCCGACGCTGTAGATTTTTGTTTCCACAGAGCAGTTTGACTCCTTGATGCCCTCTCTCCTTAACCCTCCAGACTACAGCATGGCTGCTGAAAGGCTGAAGAACCACGCTCGCCACAGGGACTACCTGTTGGGTGTGTCCCAGAGCCAGCTAGAGAAGCTTCACATCATCCTGCGAGATCACATGCAGGGCTTCAGCTTGGAGCACAGCCTAGCCTCGTTCCGCCTGGACCCTGACGAAGACCTGAACAAACTGGACGACGAGGAGCTGGCTCGCAAGAAGGGCCAAATGGAGGAACTGTTTGAGAAGAACCGGAGGCGCAAAGATGATCCCGACTTTGTTTATGACCTGGAAATGGATTTCACAAACATCCCCCAAGAAAAGTGCAGCTGGGACGACGAGTCTGATGATGGATTTTAAAACTGTTCTCTCCAATAGATTGTGACCCTTCTGGTTAAGTTCAGATGAAGTGGATGTTTAGTCTTTGTTGAAACTGTTGTAGGCATCATTTTGGCATTTATAGTACTGTTAAATTATACCACATTATACTGAGAAATGTTTCTAATATTTTGCCCATCCCATTCAAATTAATGGGTAAATGAAATATTAGAAACACCACTCAGAATGATGCAATACAGTTGAACAGCACTGCAAACTAATGCCCCCAAAATGTCCATAAAGTTGAACGCATACCTCTAAAACAACAAACAGAATATTCACGTTCATGAAGGTAGATTTTACTGCAGGACTGTTGTATTCGACTGCACTAATTAATCTACTTGTACCTAATAAACTGGAAACTGAATGTTAAAATTGTTTAGGCAATAACTAGAATTTTGGACATGGATGAAAAGTGGAGTTAGCAACAGCTACCACTACAGAGACTGAAAAGAAGAATAGGACGCCAACCATCACAAAGACATCACAGTATTCAGTGCCCATTTGACACGGTCTTATAAATGCAGGAGGTACCGGTGTTCACTGTTTTTATAAAGGTTTGGCATTTCACTGAAAGCACCTTTAACCCAGTGTTTAACCAGTTACCCCTCGTGGGAGTCTACCAACTCTTGAGATCTCTGCACCTGAAAGTACAGCTGGAGGCTCAATGCAATAGAGCCTGAAAATTATTTGGCACAGAAACCTGCCAAATAAAAACATCTTCAGAATCCATTACTGTTATTCTGTGTTATCCACAGACCCCACAGTCAATTGAGTTTTCACTGACAAGTAGTTTTTATGACAGTTTTTGCACTTATGAATAACAGTTCTCCATGAACAATTACCATTCGGTCTTTAATTTGTAAAAGTAACTTAAACATTGTTTTAGAAAAAAAAAAAAAAAGGTTATCGTTTAAATTCTTCATGTGTAATTTGCTGATGCTTTGAGTCCCACAAACCAAATACCATCGACCAAACTGTAGTGAGACTGCAGAAGTCTCCAATACATGCCCAGAAAACCACTAGAGGCAAAACATGTAACTCAGATGACATAACCCAAACAATGTTTTTGAATTCCCTATGGTGCTTACGTTTAATTTAAAACTGCAATGAATTAAACAATGCATGAATAATAGTGAATATTTATTTGTTACAAAATACAGAATTTTTACAAAATACAAAAGACTTTGGCTCTTTTATTTGTGGCTTACACCTAAATGAGTGATATTCACAGTTGACTATGAAAGAAGAGGCTAAAATCCTATTAAATAAAATTTGAGTGTACACCCAGTAAGTAAGCAGTACAACAAATATATCTTTGGAAAAAATGTGTCCACAAAATATTGTTTCATATTATACAAAACATATATATTTCCATATGGTGATGCACTATGGCAGAGTTTCAAATGAGATAAACTACATATCATAAAACCCAAGCCTGCAGTATCGAACCTCTTCAGGGATAAATTTATTCAAAGTGCTTAAATCCCTCATTCAGTTGACAGGAGATACTGACTGACTATTAGTACCACAATACATTCAAAAATTTTGCAGGTTTTTTTGGGGAGGGGGGGGAATAAAGAATGAATTGACATTGCTTTGCTTGTTTGGTTTAAGGTAATCAAAACACACATTTTTACACATTTTGTATCAATTGCAGTCATTTATGCAGGGCTGATGTATTCCCTAAGGAGGTAGGTAACTGAAAATCTGACACATAATTCCTTTTACCACCAACATTTGGTAAGGATTTAGGTGTTTAAATTGGTAATTTCTCAGCAGGCTCTTCATTTGTTTAAAAAATAGATCTTTATAAAATTTAAATTTCAAGTATGCTAAAGCCACAATCCAGGATTTCTGAGTATCTTAGTAATGACAATATATACACACACTATAGGATTTGAGAGGAAGGACTTTCTGATTGGTAATAATCTGTGCAACTTTTAACTCCACTGCCAAGACTAATTTAACGATGGTACACAAATAATATACAGGTGAAGTCATTATTTTAAAGCTGTTGGACAAAGACAGCTGTCTTAAATCCAACGACACATACACACATACAGTAGTAACGCCAAAAGAGAGGATCTAATAGTTCCGAGTGTAGCTATGCTCTGAATCCGGATAAGGCCTTATCGTTAAAAGCTGTATGGCCCACCATTTCTATGGAGAGTTATAGGAGTTGGGAGAAAAAAAATAAAATACAAAAAATTATTTTATATATATATATATATATATATATATATATATATATATATATATATATATATATATATATATATATATATATATATATATATATATATATATATATATATATATATATATATATATATATAAACACTGTTAAACTACACAAACAATACATAGATTAAAGTTTTTCTGAAAGTAAAAAATCTCATTTCTTCTTCCTGTCTTGGGTACACCTCGGACAAAACCTGAGAAATTTGAGAGAAGGGATGGAATTCCGTTAAAGAGGATTATCATGAGGTAACTACACTAATAATCTTTTATAAACAAGTCTGGGTAAACATTCTTGGGAGTTCTTACCATTTTCCTTTGGGTTTTGAGGCGAGATCCACACAAGCAAAGTGAAACCACTCAATTGGACACTGAGGGGTGACAAACGGGCAGAATTAAGAATCTTGTGGCAAAACAGGCAGTCAAACAGGTCCTGATATGAAGAAACTTATTACATTTAATTTTAGCAAAAGAGAAACACTGGGAAAACCTACATCTGGGTTATCGCATCCGATCATCTCTCCGTATGACACCTGATGGCACAGGCAGTATGTTGGCTCATTGGGATCAACTGGCATGTCCAAAACATCTGATGGTTGCATCGGCAGGAGAGCTTCACTCAAGTCTGGGCTAGATGTTCAACGTAACACATAGATCATGATTAGAATCAATCATGATTCAAATAAAATTAATGACTTAATCTGAATTAACACAAGTATGAGTAATACAGGTCTAATATAAATGTATAGTGCAGATTCTGGAAGCTGCCATCTAACAAACCCTTGGCCTGAGTGAGCCACAAACCCAAAGATACCTGTTTTTGATCTTTTTCTTTCTGGGAGAATCTTCATCAGAACCTTTCCTTCCTCTTCCTCTCGAGCCACGCTTCTCCCTCAGCCCCCGGGACTCACCCTCTGGGAAAAACAATTACGTTTATAGATGCGCGTCAAACTGTTCAGCAGTATCTTACGATGAAAGTCTTTCAGTTACCCCACTTACTTTTCAGTCCTCTTGCATCTGAACTTTCGCAGCCGCTCACTTCCAGTTTCTCCTTTAGCTCATTCTCGAACCGCGCCAGATCTGCATCCAGTCTGCGGATATGTTTGTCCACCTGCAACAAAATGATACAGATTAGAGCCTTACCATGCCTTCATTCTTTTAAAACGTACACAATACAAAAAACAGATAAAAGACAAGAAACACAAAGAATGGACAAGTGGCCAAATAATGTCTGTTTTGGACTGACCATTTCATATGTCTGCATTGCAAGCTGGACTTTGTCATCACTGAACTCTTTGCACTTGCTGTAGGCATTTTGGATCTTCTGCAGGTGTTCCACTCTCTGTTCTGAGGCCAGGTTCTTCACATTCGCAATGTACTCTTCAGCCAGTTTGTCAATCTCTCCTTTCTTTTCTGCACAACAGAAAGGGTTATTACAGTGCTGGTGAAAAACAGTATTGATATTGATTTTAAATGGTACAATACAACAGTGCTGGATGATAATAACTTGATGAGATTAAAAAATAATAATAATAAATTCACCTTCAGTCCTATTGTCCAGGTCCCGCATCAAAGTAAAGTTTCTCTGTAGTTCACATGGTAGGTTTTCAATACCTAGAGGGGAGAAAGACATGAGGGTGAGGGAGACATCACTGGGCTTTTAAAAATGTCAAACCTGCAATAATTATGTCTTTGATAATACAGAAAAAACAAATCAAATGACTGTGACATGAAAGAGTCACTCACAATGCCAAAATGTTGCCGCTCTTTGGAGCTTGTACCTGTTTTGGTTCATTGTTCTTAGATCATGGTTGTCTGTGCTGTTTAGAAATACACCTATACAAAGTTGCTTCAAAGCCATGAACAAAAATAAATAAATCGATAAATGCCGTTTTTAGGCAACACAAGGCTATGAAGGGAAAATATAAGATAAACTGTAAACTACTGGGTCATCAACTACATTCAAATAAAGTGACATATATACACACACACACACACACACACACACACACACACACACACACACACCTTATAAAAAGTTATTTTGCCATTTTTAAAAGCTGTGTGAGGATTTTAGGATTTAGGCTTGCATCCACCGTATTTTACGTACGTCTGGCCGAAGTAACGGTGAACTAATAAAATCTAACATTTTAAGTATAACATTTACGACAAAAAGAAACATGGGCGAACTTTCCCCCCGCCCTTTATAAAAATAATAGTGTCCGCCCTGTCAAAGTAAAGCTTGTGTGCATAACAATACATTATGTGACGCACTTCAGACACCCCGCCCCGGCGCGTACTGGATACAGAAAACGCGCTCACCAACAGGTTGCAATTGCTCGGTGCCTGCGACCTTAAAACAAACGAAAGTGTTAACCTAAATAGACACTTCCAACGTTTAATAATGTTGAGCATGACAATAACATTTTCAACAAACGTCATTCACTGCGTTAAGCTGCTACTCACCCAACGTTAGCTGCTAACGTTAAATGTGACAGAATCAACGGTCACAAGCTGCTAACTTTACGTTAGCTAACTACAAACGGTTAACTCTTAAATGTTTGGCATTTGTTAAGCTAATAGTTACCGTAGCACCTGAATGATTGTAACACCATACACGGAGAGTTTGCCCAACTTTATTCCACCGAAAGGTATTTCGCGATGCTAATCATTTAGCTAGCGACCTAACAGCTAGTTGCGGCTAACGCACTGTAAAGCTATCGCCACCCGTAGGGCAAAAAAGTCTTCGATGTATCAAAACTAAACCTCAAACAAATGTAAGGTGTTCAGAATGTTAATATCAGAAGAGTGTGCCCTGAATACTCACTGTCAAGGTAATGTTCCAAGTATATAGCCGTCGCCATTTCAGGTTAGCTATTTAGCTATGCGTTTTTCACGTTAGCTCTCAAACTGTTGGCGGGGGGGTGGTGGCTTGTTTTATAACCCTCCCTTGCCCGTCGGTCAGTGGCTTGGATATCCTTGATAATGCTGCAGTCGTGGGTTTCTCGTTTCTCCGGGCGATAATGAAACAACTCTCAATAATACAGTCAGGAAAATGAGTTTCCCTCCAGGACTCATGCACTCGGATCCGTACAGGATATAACTTTTCTGCTTGTGAGATTGTGACTCGCATGCGCAGCGGATAGCGGCGCGTCCAACTGTTGTGTACAAGTCGCATACTGCATAAATCAAATAAAACCGGTCTCAAATTAATCCATTTACCTATTTTACAAGGTGTTGACGTCAATACAAAATTTACAAAATCGCTACTGATCTTCATTGAGCACTTTATTACATCTTGTTCACTTGATTCAATTCAACACGTTTAACGTTACGCCCCTTTACACAGCTGAGAAGAAAAAACACGTTGGGAAAGATAAACCAAAAGGCCTTTAGCTGAATTCGCAATCCCAAAACAACTTTATGATAATTATTTGACGGCTACTGTCCATTCTCTTAAGGTGTAAACCATGGTGGACACAGATATTTACACAAAGATAGCACACAATGTGAGCTCAAAGGGACGACGGTCATTCGCATCTTTGGTGTCAGGCCTAAATTTGGAGTGCACACGTATTCTGACCTTTAAGGTAAATGCATTGAAACGTCCGGTTTTCAAACTAAGTTGTTAAAGCCAACTATTAGTAATTGTTATATTACCGAGAAGTATAAAACATGCAACCCGTGTTCCTTGAAAGTAAAAAAGAACAACCCACTAAAATGTTAGGGATTATTATTCTTTGATTTTGGGCTGCTGGAAAAACATTAAATAATTCCTGACAACGATTCATACATTTGAGTTCAGGATAACTCTAACTACATACAGACTGAAAATTAAGCATATTTACTTTATCAATTAAGACATTTTCCAAAGAAAAAATTCCCCCGGTTGTAACTTGAAATGGCTTCCTGTCTGATACTTGAGGTAGTGTAAAAACACACGTAATTTTATGTAGTATGGGACAGATGTAGCCTACTGTCACATTATTTATAAATATATTTATTATTTATTTCATTTCCATCATTTGGGATTAAATAACAGAACAATGTGTGTTCAGGGAAAGCCAAATGATGAATTCCATTATTATTAAATCAAAGAACATTTCACTCCCTTATTCTAATGCTAATAAGCAATTAAGCAGATCCATAAGAAGCTAAAGAGACTTAGACGAATTAAAGATGAAATTAGTACTTCTTAGACTACATGCACAAATACTATGAAGTACTTTTACTGTATGGTTCTTGAGTAATGCCATGTCAAAGCTAACTACAGATTAGGCAAAACACCTTCAGACTTATGAACTATGACCTGGATGACTGAGAATCTTCACAGACACCTTCAGACTTGAATATTTCCACTAACATGTTTCACTGTGGGTTTGATACACTGCAGTATAATTCTCTTTCATGTCTGTCTCCTTACATCCTTATGTTACTGCCAGAGATCCAGTAGTGGAATGTAACGATGTACTCATGTACTCTACCTGTGTATAATTTTGAGGTTCTTGTACTTTGTACTGTAATAGGAGCATTAGAGACTGTGACCCCCAAACTGGAAAAGTGGCCCCAGATGTGAACTTTACTTTGGTTTATGTAACTGTGGCAGCTGAGCACGGTGCAGGTTAATTTCCTCCGTCACATGACCTACTCTTATCGGTCTTCCAGGACTACATGTTGTTACTTGTCACTTTGAAGGTGAAGGTGTGAGCTACTCTATAGGCTACAATATAGTATAGAATTGAGTAGGTTTTCTAGCATATAGTTAGAGAATAATTTTTTTTTATCCTGGGAGAAGGGAATGGTCTCTGAGCATAACAGAGAGTTTTGATTTGTTTCCCAAAATAAGAATATTAAATTGTTGTAAAATCAGCCCATCTATCTTTACCTGTCTTGTTAAACAAATAAGCTGTGGCTTAAACTGAACTTAAACTGTAAAAAATATTATTTCCATAAGAAAAATAAAAGGTTAGAGACATTTCTCATGTTGTCTGTTTTGATTAAACCTCAATGCAGCAGAAGGAACCGTCTCAATCGGGGTTTGTCAGAATTATCCTTTGTTTAGGTTAAGTAAATATGATTATACCCTATCCAAAATTTGCACTATGTCACCTTTAATCACTCTGTATGTTCTACTACATAATGTGTCTTGCTCACCACCCTTTTAAATGGACAAACTAATGAACTAGATTACACCATAATTAAAAAACACTACTACACAACAATAAACAAAGGGTTTGAAGTCTTGAAGTCTACAACTATTTAGTGGTGTTGTAATAGAAGTCTTTAAAACCTCCAGTAAGACGTATTTGTGGAATTAACTGTGAATCAAATGACTATTTACTAATGTGAAGAGCTCGCTAGTGCTAGCATTCTTCAGAGGATCAACAGTCTCTATAGTCTTTCATTTTTCAGCAGGTTTATGCCCAGACGGATGGAGACTATGTTGCACCTCCACCACATGCTAGAATTTATATGTCTTAAGAGGCAGAAAATAGTGTGTTAACATGTCAAACACCCTGACCTGAAGTAATTTCAAGGTAAAATGTAGGACTTGGAAATTCATTAAATTGATAGTAGGCTACAGTAAAAATGCTTGATTTGTAATCTGTAGGCCTATATGGGGTTTACCTGAACTCAAATGTACATAATAAGTCATTGTCAGAATTGATTTAGTTAATGTTTTTCCAGCAAGCCAAAATCAAATAATAGTAATATCTATTGATTATCCATCCCAATTACTGAACAGGATTCCATTTAAAGTTTCAGCAAAACTTTTAAGGACAATATATGTCTGTTTAAATATAAGGAAAATATAAATGCGTTATAATATAATTTTGTCAAAAAACTGTACAGTAAAACAACTGCACATTTTATTATTAATGCTTTCGTCCATTTTGGCCGCTACAAACACCTGTACCGTAACAGCAGGAGTAGCCGCGCATGAAAAATCCCTTCACCCACTGGTGGGGAGCATGACGCGTTCCAACGCTGTCAGCTGATATGTTACGTCATTCAAAACATCCTCCTTTTCCAAAGAGGCTGAACGTTCGCGAAGATGCTCCATGGGCGGTGCTAACGCCAACCGAGAAAATAACGGCTGTCCCCAAGCGGCTTGTTGGTCAGGCTTTTTGAGTCGGAGGAGGACATCCAGTTTTTTTTTGTGCATCTCGCTTCCATGTTTTCTTTACCCTCACGAAACACCTCATCTGTTCTGAAACCATCCAAAAAAACCAAGTAAGTTATCAAATTACACAGTGCTTTCACTAATTAAGGTTATCCTCGGTTATAAGGACCAGCTTTAATGTTTTAACGTTTGCTGAATATGAACTGACATGGTAGGTCAGCTCGCTACGGTCGCGTGTGTATACAAACAACGTTAGCTAACTTCCATTGCTTTTCTTATCAGAGAGGAAACACAAAAGCCAAACTTCTCAGTTGTTTCAAGCGACTACGGGGTTGCTTAAGTTAGATCATCAGTACTCGCCACTTTCTCTCCATCCAGCTTGTATGATAAGAAATGAGACTTATGACTTATTCACAACTGGCCTATTATTTGAATCTGTTACCTTTAGGTTAGCTAGCTAACGTGTGGTGTAGTGAGAACCAAGACTTGTTTAATTGATTGCTGTGTGGAAGTTGAAATGGAAATATGTCCTTTAGTGAGTCTTCTGAAATAAAGTATCCAATCCAGATGTCTTTTAAGGGTTTTATTCTTTGCAAAGGGTCAGACAAACATACAGAGTGCAAACAGTCTGCAGAGTGTAAGACAAAGAGCCAGTGAAGAAACAGGTGACTTTATACTGTAAGGGTATTACGCAGCTATCCAAGGGAGGAAGGGAGTAGGGACCAGCTGTCCTGAGATGAAGGCCTATCAAGGACAGTCTGATAAGAAAACTCTCTAACGAGCATTTTTCCCATGGGAAACTTCACCTAGCTGTAACATAATAAAATAATCAAATACCACACAGTGAAACACTGGTCTGTTCTGATGAAGCATGCAGGGTGAAACAGTAAACACAGTAAAATATCAAATTTCCATCACAAAGTCCTAGCGCTGACAAATAGCTAACGTTAGCTCCGACTAACTTAATAATCAGAACTGGTCAAACGTGTCTGTTCATGCGCTCATTAAGTTGCAAAGTCATATTTCGTGATAAGCTGTCGTGGTGGCTTTAAAAAAAATTAAACTGTAAATCAGTAAACTCAGTCATCTCCAAAGAAGACAACTGTGCTCACTTTTGTATAGCTTTTCTACTGTATTATGAAAATTACATGAGGACCAATACCTGCTAATACAGTCTATGGCTAATAGTCACGAGATTTGTTTGGCTCTGCCACGCCCAGTCACCGGCCCATAAGTTTGTGTCATTACTAACAGATTCTATCTAATGTCTATGCATTTTATTGTTGTAGGTGTTGCCTCTAAGATGGCTATGGTAAAGAGTGGTTGGCTCCATCGACAAAGTGAGTAGCCAAACCTCATTGTAACAGCATTTTAGAAGTATTCCCTAAAATCCAGGTGCTAAAGATACTGTGATATGTACAAATAAATGCAGTTCGGACTGAACTTGACTGTAGCATATTTTCATTAAAGGTACCATACTGCGTCGGTGGAAAAGAAACTGGTTTGACTTGTGGTCTGATGGACGACTTGTCTTCTATAATGATCAACAACGGCGTGACATGGAGGATGACATCCATATGAGGGTCGACTGCATTAACATCCGCAACTCTGGTGCATGCCAAGGTACTTTTCATCTGTTGCACGAGGACGTCATTTGCTCACACTTACTGTATTAACCAACTGTAGTTCATATGTTTTATTTAAAAGCGTTCACCTCTCTATTTGTCCTGCTATATTGCTTCTCAGAGCTGAACCCACCGGAGGGGAAGAAGCGTGATGCCTTGCTCCAGATTGTGTGCAGAGATGGACGGGTCATCAGCCTGTGTGCAGACAGTGCAGATGATGCTCTGTAAGACACATCCATGCGGAGTTATTGTATCAATTTGATCAAGTATTTTGGCCTCCAAGATGACATGGTTCCCACTTTGTGTTGCAGGGCATGGACCATGGCACTTCAGGATGCAAGAATTAATACAGTGAGTTTCTGCTAAATCTTCCGTTACTAGAGTTTCGATTTGTTTTCCAAAATAACAATTGGAAATTGTTGTAAAATCAGCCTATCTACCTTTATCTGTCTTATTAAATAACTAAGCTGTGAAAATATTAAGAAAGAAAAATAACATAAGACTGGAGGTCAGAGACATTTCTCAAGTCCATCTTTATGGGGGTTTGTCAGAATTCTCCTCTGTTTGCATTTTTCCAAATGTCATGCAGCTCAGTTTTGTTGATGTACATTTGAAGCTCTCAGGTGAGGTAGCCTGATTTGTGTTTTTTCTTTGTTTGTTTTTTTTAGGTTGTCGCTGCTCCTCAGATTGGCTTTGCGCAGGAAGTTATAGCGTCTGCTCCTCCCCCCTACTCAGAATATGCTCCCCCACCTCAGGTAAGAGGAATAAACAGTATGCATATAACAAAAAGTTTGTTTTGTTTAACATTGATTTATAAATATTAGGGGGAAAAAAGCTATCGACATGTACCTGTGAATTTCAGGCTTGAATTTTAATTTATTTTCTTCAATAAATTGGTCAAACACAGTTCTGTAAATCTCTGAAAATGTTCTTGTTTCCAGTGTTTTACGGTATAAAACTGCACATATTTAATCAAGCTATGTACACTGTGATTATACTGCATCCATAATTTGCACTGTATGTCACATTTAATCACTGTATATTTTCTACTGCATATATTTGTTTGGGTTGACATCATTCTTTTAAAGGGAAAAGCTAGCTAATAAGCTAGGTAAAACCAAAATTTTAAAAATAAGACTGCATAGCAACACACAAAGTTGGAGCCTGCTACCATCTAGTGGTGTAGTAATGGAAGTTTGCTAGTGCCGGCATCCTTCAGAGGATCAGCAGTCTGTATAGCCTTTCTGTCTTTCATTTTTCAGCAGGTTTATGCCCCCGGCCCCTATGGACACTATGTTGCACCTCCACCACATGCTACACAGATTGTATACTCTGCTGATGGGCAGCCCTACGCTGTAGCTTACCCTTATCAGTATCAAGGTAAATAACTGCACATTTCAAACCTCATTTCATTTGTATGAGTCTGCAGCCATGCTAGTAGTTCTGTGAGGCTGGACTTCATCAGCATGCTAACATGCTCACAATGATAATGCTAAGAAGTGGATGTTAAGCAGATAACATTTGCTAGTTAGCATTAAGCACAAAGTGCAGCTGAGATGATGGGAATGTCAGTAGTCTCAACCTTAGTCAATAACTGAAATATTAGACAAAGTGAAATTTCTATCTGGTGGCGCTAGCTAAAGTCTACAGTTAAGGGATCATCAAAGTGATGCTTGCTGGGGAACATAAATGTCAGTACTTGGGGTCTACCAATAATCGGTCTGGCCGATTATCGGCGCCGATATTCAGCGTTTTTCCAATAATCTGCATCGATCATTTCAAAAACAGATAGCCGATATAATCAATTAATGAAAAAATGCGCTCCTTTGGCTCTGATGCGGCCTCTCTGTCTGTACTCTCAGCAGAGCTCCTCAAATACACACAGGCTAGGGCCGAAGTGAGCGGAGATCACTAGCCCTGTTTCCATCAACGCTTGTTAATAGGCATTTTGTAGTGTTGCATTACAAAACGTTAAAAAATCCTTAATTTCGCAAAATAGTTTTTATGCTTGCTTGAGGTGGTTTTTGCCTTTGTCGAAAAAGAGTTAATGCGCTAAATGGGAGATGGAAACACTTTTTCCGAATAAGTTCTGACGTAGTGAACTTGTAACTCACGTCTGATCAGCTGTTCCTGCTGTCGGTGGCTTGGCTGGTTGTGCGTAGTTTTCCATGCCTGCCGAGAATTGCATGCACCTCGCGGCTGGTAACGCTCATTTGTGCTAGAAAATAGGTGGATGCAAATCTCCGCACGTAGCCTTCATCATCTGTTCTGCCGAATTATGCATTCACCTCTTAAAGGTCCTTTTCAGAACCTGTGCTCTGCACACTGATCAAACGGGGTTATCACTGCATATTTTTGCTTAATCTCAATGAATTGCTAGGCTACTTCTACTGAGTATACTAAAATATTAACTCTAAACGTTCATAGAACAGGCTATATACTTAGAATCATTTATCCCCATTGATGAACCTCACAAAGGATATTATTGCTTTGAAAAGCATTATTTCGAGGTGCATGCAAAACTCGCATAACACCGGATATTCCCATAACATATGGAGACATGGCTGTTTGCCCGCTTGAAACACATTTCTGTCTCATGTCATGAGCCCACGTACGGCGAGTCCGTCGAGTAGCCTGTAGCTGCAGTACCGGAGGCTGCAGTTTCAGGACCGCAATCCTAGGATCGGCCGACGTGCTAGCAGACAGGGTTAACCTCCTTTGTGTTGCTCCACTAGATGGTGCTCATTTAGTAAAATTAGGTACATCACATCACCCCTACGGTGGCGCAGTGGTTAGCACTGTCGCCTCACCTGCACATTGCCCCGGCCTTTCTGTGTGGAGTTTGCGTGTTCACCCTGTGTTATGTATCATAGCAACCAAAGCGTCTCAGCCGAAAAAAACGCAAGGCGTTTTCATCTGCTAAAAAACGCTTTGGTGGACGTCAGGAATAAAGTTTATTTAACATGTTCCATTTGTTTCCAGTGAGATACTGATTTTATATGGTTACTTTGCTGCTGTAAACTTTACATTTTAGCTATAATAAAATATTAAATTTGATTACTGTTCTGAATTCATTCTTTTTTAAATAACATATTTTTAAAAGGCAATTATTTAGTAATGAAAAACCAGTAAGAGTATAGATAAAGAACAGGACCAAAAAATAGTATCAATAAATGTATCTCTAAAATCCTATAAATGGCAGCGGATATAGACAAAGTTTATGATAATTTATCACTCATAGTTAACAAGTCCACCTCAGGGATGGATCTCTAATTAATTTAATTATTTTAAAGGTTAAACATGGCAATTAACTTTAATCTTGTTATTTTCAACAAAGTTTTGTGTTGGAGTTTCTGTTATTCAAAATTTTGACACCAAGATAAGAATTTTTACAGCAAATGTATACTGGTTCCACATATCGGTCATCGGTCTAATTGGCTACTAATAATTGGTATCGGCCCCAAAAAAACCCATATCGGTCGATCCCTAGTCAGTACTGAATTTAATGGCAATCCACCCAGTAGCTGTAGAGACATTTCAGTCTGGGCCACAATGGTGGACCTACTGACAGATGTAGACTGATAAAAAATGCTAAAAAATGCTGGGAGAAGAAGGTAATTAATTTAAGCAAGTTTAAATGGCATAATTGCACATTTAAATGAGACATTATGCTGCTGCTGTTTTCTAGGTGGGTACCCTGCCCCTGAAGTGAACCATGTTGTTATTCAGGAACGCCAGCGTGACGACGGAGGAGACGTGGCTTTGGGCATGCTTGCTGGAGCAGCCACTGGTTTGGCACTTGGCTCTCTCTTCTCTGTCTTCTAGTGTCTCGATTAATGCACATCTAGTAGCACACGGTCCCCCCCATATTTGCAGCATCTGGCTTCTTCTCTGTGCCATCACATGAGTTGGAGTAAAATGTCTGTTGGGCTACTTCTATCTATGAAGCATGATTGTGATGGGCAGCGAATTACTCCGTATGTGTCCTATATATACAGTATATACTGTTAGCACTTTCTCATATGCCCTGTGTGGCAGTTTCCGCCCCTTTGTGTTGTGTGAATATGAATGTTCTTAACCAAAAAGTACAATTACTCACTTTTAAGAGTTATTTAAATGACAGAAAACATTTTACTCCTCCTATGTACATTTCAGGTCCTCTGACTATTTCTCAAGTTTCATGGAGCACATTTGTCCTTTATATTTGCAGAATTACCTTAATAGCCATGAATTGGTGTTTGTTTATGTTTGTCTACTTGTTTTTTTTAGTTTTTTTTTACAGGTTTTGTGTTTATCTTTGTGTATTATACCTTTACTTTACATGTATTACTTGTCTGTTGTGGTTGTGAATAATATGCAGTGTTTCTTCAGCTCCTCAATTTATTTGTGGTGGAGGCAGGCTAAGATGAGTGGAAAGAGGAGTACACACACACACACACAAAGCAATAATCACTTGGATTGTAGCATTTTGAGGTACCTATTTGGTGAAATCTGGTTGTGATGGATGCCTAATGTTGTCATCGCCACAAATAAGTCTACGTTTGAGGAAACACTGGCATATACACAATGAAGTGAAAAGGTATGTCACTCATTGTATATGGTAATTTATTTCATTGGCAGCTGTCAATTCATACTTTTCAATAGTGTGTTGAATCGATATTTTGGTTTTCATTTCAGAAGGCTTGGTGCAGCGTTCACAAATACCAATCAGGCTTATCTGCCTCTTGGAGATTTAGTTAATTAAATTTGGACTTTCCACTCCAAGCGACTTGCACATTGTCAGATTTTTCCATTATTCGTGTTAATTATGACACCATTTATTCACTTTGAATTAGCAACTTCTGCTCAATAGAAAACCTTTTTGGTCACCTTTTCAAAGATACTGCATATCTTAATGACACTAAGAAGATGTGAAAGACATCTATTTCCAAGTTATTTAAATTTTGCAATTAATAAGCTTGTGCAAGTGTCGTAACATTGATGTCATTTTTCTACAGGTCTTACATTGTGCAACGGTGTGAAATGAACCTGTTCTATTTCTCTTAATAAATGTACTAAATTAAATTATTCCCTGCATTTAAAATAAAAATGACACTTAAGTAAGTGTCAATAAGGACTCCTGTTTTGTTGTTTTTGTGTTGTTTATTGAACCCTGAGACGTTTGTTCACAGAACATGTCATGTAGGATACAACAAAAGTGCAAATGACCGCTGTAACAGGTTTTATTTATAACCAATAAGTCACCTCTGCACACCCTGAAAAAACACCCATGTAAAGACATACTTCAAACCCAGTGGCAACACAGTTTGAGCATACTGTCAGGATCATTTAGAACATACTGTAACAGACTAAAGGCTGAAAGTCGAAACTTAAAAGCGTAGAAAATGTGTGCACAGATGTTCACTGGGCAAAGTTGATCAGAATCTAGAATTTATGCTTTTAAAAGCATTATTGCACAATATTTAAGCTAGTAATTACAACTTTATATGTAGTGAAATACAAATAACCATTATAAGGTTGTCTACATGTTGAGAAGAGAGCTACCATTCATACATCTTATAAAATAAATTCCCATTTATAAAAGCCCACCCTGAAACTGACCCCTTAGACTATATCAAGAGGTATGTTGTGTTGAAAATGTGCATTTACTCACTGTAGCGTCACCACCAGCAAAATAAAACCAAGGAAAAGAAATATGAAACTTTACAAATGTGTAGATGTAAACATGAGCCTCAGTCGAATGATAAATTAGCAGTAAATATTGCTGATTACTGATTGAAAGCAAAAGTCGTCAATTAAGATTTTGATCATGAATTAATTATTTTAGTAAATTCTCCAGTAAGAACGGCAAACATTAGTTTCACATCTTTAGGTAATATTTACTTTTCTGATCAGACTGAGAAAGTAAGAACTTTGGGCTCCACTAACCAGTGATTGACATTTTACACCATTTTAGACACTTTACAGACCAAAACATTAATTGAATAATCAAAAGCATAACTGACAATGAAAATAATTGTTAGTTGCAGTCCTGTTAATGAGTAGAGGTTGAGTATTATTAGCCCTCTTGACCAAAATCTTGAGTAAACTTCTTCAGCTTCTCCAAGTCTTCCTCATTCACCGTCGGCTTGGTGCTCGTCAGTGACCTCAGCATGTCGGCCTGCACGGGAAATATCAGAGAGGTCACAATAAATGCTGATCGAAAGACTACGTTTTGTGTTTTTGTTGAGTCTTTTCTCACCATGCACACGACTGGCTCTAGAAGTTTCTCCCCAGGAACATCCATCCACGTCATCTCTATGGCGTTGGGATCACCTGGCGAACACGGGGTCAGGAGGTCTTCCACCTCAACCCCGGGGTTCTTCCATGATGACCCACGAACCTTAAGTAATGTGCATTTGTGTGTGGATGGACAGAGGTAAGGACACAAAGAAAAATTATAAACTAGGTAGTTCATTATGAACATTCTGTAGTGATTATAGTGTAGGTGTACAGACTAGTTTAGAATGAGAAACTATTTTTAAATTAAAATGTCTATTAGTGTATCCCAGTGTTCGGGCAGTGCAGTAACTGTTACAATTTAGAACATTATTTCACTGTAAATATTGATGCTAAACTATTATTTTGTACTCCACAACACAGCAATAGAGATAATTGCAGTGATTAAATAACAAGACTAATGCACAGCTTTGCTATGAGTTAAATGATCAGCATGCTAACATGCACACAGTGATGACATATGTTCAGCAGGTACAATGTTTTCACCATGTTCACCATCTTAGTTTCATGTTAGGAAACTAACATTTGCTGATAAGTTATAAATAGTTATAGAATACAATCTCTTCACGTAGCATAGTTGTCCACTGCATGCTAACTCGCTCACAATGAATGTTAATGTTTAGCAGTTTATGTTCACCGTGTTAGCATGCTTACATTGGCTAATTAAGCTGATGGGAATGTCATTCGTTTTGCAGGTATTTAGTCATTGCAGTTCGCTCTGAGGTGGACATGAATATGTGGGCCAAATTTACACTACTGGTCAAATGTTTTAGAACACCCCAATTTTTCTAGTTTTTATTGAAAGTAGTTTTGAAGTAGTTCAGTCTAATGAAAAACCTTAAATGGTGCAAAAGTAAGCAGCAAACTGACAAAGTTATGAACAACGTTTATGTCACCAAAACAGACATTTTCAGAGACATAAAATTAACAATTATTCATTATTTCACTGTAGGATCAACCAATAACTAACTGGTCTGTCTTCCTTCATGAATTGCTTTTTAGTTGCATTATTGTACAAATAAAGCTTCTGTGGGTGTTTTAACACAGGCTGTTTCAAGGTGTTTAAAATTGAGACAGCTGCAGGAATTTGTTTTTCCATCAACTTTTAAGGAAGTGTCCCAATTTGTCCCAAAAACATTGTTTTGGTGGCAGTTTTCTGCTAACTTTAGTACGATTTAAGTTTTTCACTGGACTTGAACTATGTAAATCCATCCGATAGCGGTTGAGTCATCTGTCTTATTTTGGAAAAATATATTCCTGCTGGTTTCCTAAAAGACTTCTATCACTTTGAAATACGACAAGCTAGATGTCAACTGTTGCTGACTGTGTGTGTACCTTTTTGAAGTGAGTGGCTGACTGAACCTTCCTCACAGGCTGCATGAGGGCGTCTCTAACGATAACACTGATGTCTGCCCCGGAATAGCCCTCTGTCTTCTTGCCCAGAGTGATGAAGTCCGCCTCTGTCAGTTCGTTGGGGGTGGAGCCCAGATGCAGTTTGAACATGAAGGAGCGGGCGTGCTCCTCGGGCAGAGGAATGTAGATTCTCTTTTCAAACCTTAGACAGACAAGAGAGTCAATCAGCCATTATGAGGCGATTTTCTCTGTGAAGCTGAAATGTTTTGTGAGTACTTTGCTCTTTTCCAGCAGCATGAGATGAGTGAACATCTGAAGACGAGTTGTTGTGTAAGACATTGTGACTGTATGTAACATGACAGGTATGACTAAAACTAGTTTAAGACCACATCTGAGGGATCTACTCAATAAGAAGGTTGGGGCAGGGGCGGGGTATAAAAACACTGCCGTCAAGTCGGACACATTCTACCTGCGTGAGTTTACTGTGAGATAAGAACAAATGCTGATCTTGCTGCATTTGTCAGATCAGGCAAAAGGTGGTTCCAACTTTGTGCAGCTGGTGAAAAGCAACTGCAGTCGCCGGACTTAGAGAACTGCAGCCGCCTTGTTCCCGCAAGGTTTTAAAGACATGTGACATGGTGAAGTTTTGCAGCGCCAGTGAAAGTCAGACAAAATTTCTAACCAGCATCCCTTATTTTAAGTCCAGCTTGCATCACCTTAAGTCAAACGCACCTATTATCAGCTGTATTTTTTTACTTTTTAAGTACTATTTATAACAATAATAAAAATTTTATTGTTAAACTGCATTATGTTATGTTATCTTGGTGAGGTCTCATAACAAATGTTAGGGATAATCTTTATGTTATGTGTTTCTGAAAAAAAAAAAAAAAAAAAAGAATATAAGCTCATATACCGTCTTAAAAATCTCATATCGGTCGTGCTCTAGTCTGCATGCTAACATGCTCACAATGACAATGCTAACATGTTGATGTCTAGCAGTATTGTTCACCATGTTTACCGTCTCCTGATGGCTGAGTCCAGTGTCCACGGTATATTTGTGGCTCCCAGGACCAGGATTCCATCATTATCATTCCCAACACCTGAGAGGAAAAGGACATCGCTCACACTTCATGAACACACGGCTATTCAAATTTTATTGCAGATTTTCAGGTTATCCCTTCCTGCTCACCCTGCATCTGGACGAGGAACTCTGTCTTTATTCTGCGCGCTGCTTCACTCTCGTTCTCGCTCCTGGAGCCGCACAGGGAGTCGATCTCGTCGATGAAAATGATAGAAGGCTTGTGTTCTCGGGCTAAAGTGAACAGGCTCTTCACCAACCTGGAGGGGGGCGGAGGGTAGAGAAAAAAAATACATGTTTAGTGTCCATTTATCATATTCCCAGTTTTATCATCACGGAAAGAACCTGGGCCTCACTTCTCGCTTTCCCCCAGCCACTTGGACACAAGGTCGGATGAGGAGATGGAGAAGAAGGTGGAGTTGTTTGCTTCTGTGGCTACTGCCTTGGCCAGGTAGGATTTCCCTGTTCCTGGAGGGCCAAACAGAAGGATTCCCCGCCAAGGAGTTCGCTTTCCTACACAAACAGATGCCATATTATTAAATACTATTCATTTTCAGGATGTTTCAAGTTGTTGCTCTTGTTTTCAGTACCTGTGAACAGATGAGGGAATTTGATGGGCAGGATCACAGCTTCTTTTAAGGCTTCTTTGGCCCCCTCAAGTCCAGCTACATCGTTCCACTTAATATTTGGCTTTTCCATGACAATAGCACCTGTAGGAGAAACGTGTTTGATTGGCACTTTATAGATTGAAGCATTCATTATTTTCTGAATTGTCACACAATGATAATGATGTTTTGCTCATAATAGTTTACTGCTGCATCATGTCATTCACCTGAGAGTTGATTTTCAAACTTCTTTTTCTCTGCGTCGTCGCCACTTTCATTCCTGAAATTAAATGACAACAGGCCACATCGTGATTTACTGACACTTCATTGAACAGTGATTTGTGCTTTTTAGGGCTATGCAGCAACTTGATTTTACAGATCCCAGAGTTTCCTAGTAATTTCGTAGAAAGAGATTGATAAGAAAGAGCAAATTCTTAGGACAGTTCCTGAAAAAGACTAATAATAGAGAAAATGGAGACACTGTTCATTCAACATTCGGTCAACATGCAAAAATGTTAAATCTATTTGGGAGGAAAACATTTCAACAACTCTTGAGTTTAGCGTATCCAATAATAAATTACTATTTATGTGGGTTTAAATGGATCTCAGCCAGTCATTAATACTAAGTAGTTTTTTTCAGTTTTGTGTTGGATTGAATTTCGGTCAGTCTCACCCTTTGTCATCCGACTGGGACACTTTGACAGGTTTGGCCGGAGGACTCTTCTCCTTCTTCCTCAGATACTCCTTCAGCTGCTCAGCTCTGTCCAGGTAGTCCGCACACTTGGCCCTGATGCTCTGCGCCGCTCGATCACCCTGGGCCTCATCTGCAACACAGTAAGCAGCTTAGCTCATTGTGCAGTGTTGAATAGATGGGGCAGTTTAAACAACAAGCAATATGGTGAGGAGTCATAAGTCCAGCTCCTTACACTTGACAACATGAAGGAAGTATTGCACTGCATGCTGATATAATCGGAGGGCCTCTTCGTAGTTTTTGGCTTTGTCCTCCTCTGCAGCTTTGGTGGCCAAATCTATAGCTTTCTGAGAACGACAGACAACATGAAAAAGAAGAATTTAGGAAACCATCTTGTACTTGTAACACCCTTTAAAATGATTAGTAAATACTGTGTTTATTATTGTTTAATAACTAATTTACATATGCTTTGTAGTTTGTAGAAATAATACAAACAACTTTTGGGTTGACAGGTTGTGAAAAATCCTTTTGCCTGCTGTTTGTGCTTTCTATTTGGTAACAGTGCTTTGATTCTGTAAATTAATACTGTAATTAATACTCAGTGGTTAGTAATTGATTTATTAACTATTAATAAGGCTAATACCCACAACATATAAAGCTTTCATAGAGGGTGCTTTATCAGGAAGTTGTAGTAAAAGGGGAGTGGTGGAAAAGGTAGTCTGATTTACTAAAATAAAAGTACCAAACACAGTAAAAATATCCGTTATAAGTAAAAGTCCTCTATTGAAAAGTAAAGGTACAGACGTATTATCAGCAAAATGTACGTAAGTCAAGTAAAAGCATAACGCATTATTGTATATTAGATTGTCAATACAGAGGGATAAATGTAACATTTTACTACTATAGCTGGTCCAGGTGGAGCTAGTTTTAATTACTTTTACATAGTTAGTTAGGTTAGTCCAGTGGTTCCCAACTTAGGGGTCGTGCCCCCTTCTACTCTCATAAGATAAATCTGAGGGGCTGTGAGATGATTGATAGGAGAGAAAACAAGAAAAACAAAGTTCTGGTAGGCCTACACAAATTTCTATGAAATGTTTTAAACTTTCCTCTAATCTTTGTTTTATAAGTTAAATATTGGTTAATTTGGGCGCTTTGGGTTATTCAAATCATCTGAGAAATTAAGGGGGGAAATGACTCTTTGGTGGAACAGCCAACTACTCAGTGACATCTAAAACAGGAGGAACCCCAAGGAAACACAGCTTCTTTATACAGTCTATGGTTGCAAGCTAAAAAGGGCTGTATACCACGGGTTTCATTTTAACAATGCAGTGTATTTAATTTAAATGTAGTGGAGTTAAAAACAACAATATGTCCATCTGAAATGTAGCTAGTGGAGTAGAAGCGTAAGTAGCATAAAATGTAAATAGGCTACTTAAGTACAGACCACAGAGTACAACAAAGTTTTACTTAAGGAAGAGAAAACATAGCTACTTGGTTACTTTCCACCACTATAAAAAAGGAAACATCAAAGGTATTTTTCAAAACCTGGCAACCCGATTGTTATAATTAACTTGTAACTAATCCATAAGTATTACTTAATAACTAATAATGAAACCATTAGCGTAGTTATTTCGTACAAACCCCGGTACAGACTTTCTTTTTAAACGTACATGGTTTTAAACGCTGAATTAGCCATTTAAAGTTACTAAAGCTCGAACTGTTCTCTTCTGGTGACACCGCATTATGTAACCAGGTAGCTCAGTAAAACTTTGTCACTCACCTGTAAATTACCACCAGCCATTAGGTTTTGAGATGTCGTTCAATCTTAAGTCTGTTGTTTCCGGTAAAACTGTAAAGCCGCTAACACTTTACCTTTCTTTTTGGCTGTTACTTGCTACTTATATTTCATTATACAGCAATCGCAAAACATCCTCAAAGAAGTTCTGCTCTCTTCCGCATCAACAAAAACTTGACTGTCACTTCCGCGATGATCACGTGACAATGTTCTTGGCTACTTCATCAGCTGGTGAATAGATATTTCAGTCAATCAAAGTTATTGTAGTAATATATATCTGAGTTACATGTATACCATATGTAATATCTGCTTAATTTCTTAAAATACTATTACACTACTTTTAAAAATCTATGTCTTGAAAATAAAATGTCTTGATCCTCATACATTAAATAAACATGCACATTGCCACTTATGGATTGAATAACAAATTTACAGTTTATTACATCTATTAAAAAGGCAAATAAAACGTGTGCAAAATATCTAGAAATCTTACAACACCTGGGGTAAACAAAAATAAATGCATATACTGTAGAACAATGGCGGAAAGGAGATGCACATGGCAGATAAATGCATTTTGGTCGCACATTGTTGCTCTAGATTTTATCCAGGTTTATTCAACATATGACAGCTTAGTTTCAGCCTCAATCAAAAGCAAGCACCATGTACAGTACATGTTGTAGGTGAGCAGATTTGCCCCTCAGTACATATCATCAGTGTGGTACAGGCAGGCATGAAGGCAGGAGTCTGGGTTGTCATCAGCTGCCTCCATTTAAGATTTTTGGATGTAAAACCTTTAGGATGCGATCGTTCTTTGTAAGATCTGCAGGGAGTTCATTATTCTGCAAAACACACATGAGAAAAGGTCTACAAGCCGAAGTGATCTACTTATGTTCTGTCGGTTTATCAACTAATCTTTCAAATCTAAGTACCTTACCTTGTTGGGTAGTGTGGGGTCTGCGTTGGCCCCGAGCAGCAGCAGAACAGTCCGAACATCTCCACCCATAACAGCTGCATGAAGGGCAGTAGAGCCGTTCTGGAGGCAACAAATAAAGATATTCATAATGCTAATTGCATAATACGTGTTGTATTCTCCAGTTGTTGACTTAACCTGTGCTTTATCCAGTGCTGCAGTGTTAGTATTAGAGGAATAGTTCGATCATTTGGGAAATACGCATATTCCCTTTCTTCCTCATATAAAAAGATTGAAACCTGTCAGTACGATAAATTGACAGAGCCAACAGCTAGTCAGCTTAGCTTAGCATTGAAAGAGGGGGAAATATACTGAACAAAATTATGAACGCAACACTTTTGTTTTTGCCCCCATTCATCATGAGGCTTTTTGTATATATAGTCTTAGATCTTTGAGTTCAGCTCATGATGAACGGGGGCAAAAACAAAAGTGTTGCGTTCATAATTTTGTTCAGTGTAGCTAGCTTGGCTCTGTCCAAAGGTAAAAAACAAAATTCTCACTTATTAACATGTCAAATCTATTGTGTTTGTTTAATCTGTACAAAAAAAATGGAAGTGTAAAAACAGCACTTTGAGGTTTTACAGGGGCTTATGTGCCAGACTATTTCTTGGCTGGAAGCAGTTACTTCCTGGAGACTTATTGTATGCCAAGGTATCGATCTTCCCTCATTTAACTCTCGGCAAGACATGTAAGCATATTTCCCAAAATGCCCATGGCAGCATCCTCTACCTTGAGAAGGCCAAGTGAAGGAGAAAACTTGAGAAGTTCCTCGACGACGCTGTTGTGTCCCTTAAAAGCTGCTTTGAATAACGCTGTTGATCCATCCTAGACAGACAGCAGAGAAAGCATACAATTGTTCAATGAAACAATGTCCTCTTGAGGTCCTCTTACTCAGTTTCTCTGAGGCTTTCGACCATATCACATGGCCCTCATCAGCAGATAACGTGTGCTCATTTGTCATTGTATATGTTCAAACTTTGAGATATTCTGAGTGTAAGAGGGTGTAAGCACACGAGCCTGTTGTGTCCAAATGTTCTTGACACTTTGGAATCTGCCAGTCAACAATCCCTTAATGTACTGTACACTTTTATATGCTTTATTAATTCCAAAAGAACTACATACATGTCTGTCAGCATCCCGATCTGCACCACGTAAGAGTAGCACCTTCACCACCTCACTGTGACCCATCTGAGCTGCCATCCACAGGGGGGCAGTGCCATCCTGGAGAACACAGGGATGAAGGACATAAGATGGTGGAGGTGAAGAGAAAGATGAAATTAGGGTCACTGCAGGCACGAGATAACCTGGAGGGATCAATCAATATATCAAAGAGGAGCTGTGAGCTAAAGAGACAGAGACTCTGTGACTGTGGCCTTTAAATCCCTTAAAAAAACTAAAGAGGTGAGGGCATTACCTCCCTCACTTGGTTAACCTTGGCACCAGATGAAAGCAGCTGACGAATCACAGTCACATGGCCCTCCTGGGCAGCAAGAAACAGAGAGGTGGCACCATCCTGAAACATAAAGATATCATCTCATTCACGCACATTAATCATTTTCTGCAAGATCTGTAACAATGACAGAAAAGCTTCCAACTAAGCAGAAAAGTGTTACTATATTACTAATATGTTATAAATGTATGTTTGTGCTGTCAGGTTGTTTTGCCCTGCCCAAAGGACAGACACTAATCCTGCCAAATGTCAGTTGTGTCTGACTCAGCAGTCTGCAGAAACCTGAGAGGCTGGATTCCAGCTGCCGGGGCATTGTGTGCAACTAACAGTCATGTTCCCGACAGACAGAGGCACTGACGATGAGAGGAGACAGGTAAAAAAAAAAAAAAGACAACATAAAGGGGCTCACGTTCAGCTGGTCATGAACATTGGCTCCATTCTTCAACAGGGTGTCCACCACCTTGGAGTGTCCGTGCTGCGAGGCGACAGTGAGAGCTGTGCCACCGTCCTGCCACAAAAACACACAAGGAAAACAAGCAAAGCCGGGGGAACAGTTGATAGTCACCACTGTGTGTTACATGCTGCAGAGGGAACGTCACTAAAGCCTCCAGAGGTGTAAAAAGCAGCCTGACTGGCAGAGTGTGCATCATTTTTGTCTCCTTATCTCTATACGAAACACTCTAAGTCTGAGATGATAGCATCATAGCAGAATTAGAAAGACTGTGGCACACATGATTGTGCCCTGCCTCATACCTTTGTCTGGAATTCAGTGGAGGCACCGAATTCAAAGAGGAGTTTCACAATGTCATTGTGACCCTGCTGGGAGGCGAAGAACAGGGCAGTAGAACCTGTCTGGAAAGGATAAAAAAAAGATAGTTGTTTTTCATTTTGAAATCAACAGCCGTCCATGTTTGTATCTATTTGAGATGTAGAATAAAAATAGTCAATTAAAGGCCTTGTTCAAGAGTCTTTAGCAGCTGTCTGGAAATTCTTTCCGGTAGATTTTGCTTTCTATGTTGCCGATTGTTTCTTATTCTCAACCGCAAAACTCTGATATATGTGTGCAGATGTGTTTTCTTAATGCCAAACTTTTCAAACATAAAGCTACCATTACAGAAGCTTTATCTAAAGGATTAGTTTGTAATTTTGGGGACTGCACTTCTTTGCTTTTGTTGCCAAGAGTTAGATGAGAAGATTGGTACCACTCTTTGCTCTGTGAGCTAAATTAGCTTAGCTTAGCACAAAGACAGGAAACTTGTTTGTTCAATCAATTACCGACAACAGTCCAGGTTTGTCTGGTATTTCAAGGAAGTCTCCTGGTGCCCTCCCGTTTTGTTATTTCTCCTGGTAAACTCCTGTAATTTGCATGGCCCTCAAAATTTATTATGAACAATTGTCACACACAGATCCAAGTTTTGTCTGATGAAACACAATCCACACACTACATACAATTTCAGCCCATCTGTCACTGCAACCCACATTTTAGTGGTGCGCAGCTGCTCTCTGCAGAGGCAGAAGGGCCAGCGAACTTATGGCGAAAAAAACTAGGTATTTTGAAACCTAAATGTTGGCAGGTATGGTTTAATCCGTACAATAGGTTTGTGTAAGTGTAAAAACAATAATTTGATGTTTTTCAGGGATCATGTCCTGGAGCATTTGTTGGCCGGGAGCAGTGACTTCCTGAAGTCTCCTATGTCAGCCAGCAGGAAGTTAGCTTAGCACAAAGTCTGGAAACAGGAGGTGGAAACAATCTACCTATCAGCAGCTCTAAAGCTCACTAATTAACATGTTATATTCAATTTGTTTAATCCTGGAAAAACATGAAGTGTAAAAACAACAATTTGTGGTTTATAGGTGGTTATGTTTGGACTATTTCTTGGCCGGGAGCAGTGACTTCTGTTAGATCTGGTTACCTGGTAACCCCAAGTGACTACAAGACTCCAGATTCACTGTGACTTATAGTAGGCTATTATATTATTTATATGGGCTAGCAAGTTATTTTCCCATCCTACCTCTCTCTGGTAGTTGATGTCGGCTCCTTGCATGATAAGGTCTTTGACACATTCATAGTGGCCACTGTATGACGCCACCATCAGCGCTGTCGTTCCATACTGAAAAGGAACATGGCACCAATAAATTAGGAGTTTTATTGGAATGCCTTCCTGGACAGTATGAAACTGATGAAACTGCTAAAGTCTGCAGATTTAACACATGAAGCCCTCACTTTTTATTATGATGAGAAACAATAATAAAACAAACTGGGGGTGACATTATGATGGTACACACACACACACACATGCACCACAGAGGTAAGGCTTGAAGCTCTCTGTCTTCCTACCACAGGTGGGTTATGGTTAAAGCGTGCAGCTGAGCAGCCAGGACATGCAGCGTCCGTACACTGTCTCTGCAGTCTGCGTCCACGCGCCCGCTGTTGAGCAGCAGCTGAAGTAGAGCCAAGTTCCCTTTCCTCGCTGCCCAAAACACAGCATTAGCCAGGGGTGTTTCCTTCTGGAGAGTAAATACACACAACAGCCACTCACCTTAAACCACCATTATCGTATTATGCACTCTGACAGTAGAGCACACTCTGAAAATAACAGCACACTGTCATTTGTAGGTGTACACATTTATAAGTGAAGTGTCTAAGTATGAATGACAGTTGAGTCATCAAGCAGGTGAGCTAACTGATCAATAATCAAACAATCACACTTACACTCCTTTCCTCTCACAGACTTTAGGGATTTGAATTGAGTTTTTGCATCAAACAGCGCATGCACACGCGCACACACACGTGCATACTATACAGGTAAATGTGTGAAATTTAAGAAGGAACACAGGCCAAATGACACCTATTGTACCCGCACGCGCACGTACACAAAGCTAGACTGTATGATCGCATTAAAGTCCGATATAATTCCAGCTCGCACCGGTTTCTTTTATAATTAAATAGACTCTGAAAATGAATAAGTGTGCACTTCAAGAGGAAGCAGGTGTATTCTGTTTTCTCATGGAGGCCCTCCAGGCTGACGGATGGAAAAGATTGGTTTACCTTAAAAGACATCCTGCAGACCTCATTCGTGACTCATGGTTCTTCCTGCGCAGTCACTGATTAGAGACGATGCTGAGCGCCTCTCGCCGGTTTTACCGCACTGTGTTTGGGTGTTGGCGGCGCCCGTTCGCGGACATAATAACAGCCGGAGAGACAAGTCAGCTGGGCTCATCCTCTGCAGTCAGTGCTGCACGGAGGCACGCGGCGGGCCGCTGGAGGGCGCTGCTGCACGCGCACACAAATGTTATCTGCGTAAAGCCGGGTGGATGGGTACAGCTTTGAACAGTGGTGGGGAGTGACTAAGTACATTTACCCACTGAGCTTTAGTGTAATTTTGATGTATTGTGCTCCTTTATACTTCTACTCTTCTACGTCTCAGAGAAAAATATGACTTTACAGATTAAGATTTTACATTAAATAAACCTCTGATAATGTAACCACCGTTTCGGCTCGTTATAAAATAGTTGCAAAAAGCAGATTACTGTAATGATTCAAGAGGTTACTACCTATATCCAGTTATTTTATTAATTGCTGTACTGGAGTATATCTATCGTTATTATAGGCTACTTCAGATAATCAGTGTACCCTTATCCCACTTCTCTACATACCCTATGGACATAAATTCTTAAAATGAACAGATATTGAACAATACACTTATAAAATATGACACGTTGTTAAAGATTAAACCAGTGGTGCATAACATATTTGGTTTGTGACTCCTTACAGTGCCTGATTTAACCTTTAACAAGCTCTTGCGTATTTAGTGGTTCCACCAAAGATAGATTTACCTCTCTAAACTTAGATAAAAGATAGTTTCAACGAATTAACAGTTCAAGGTCCAAAGGTGTCAAGTGATCCATTATTTCACATAAAATGCAAAAGTTAAAAAAAAGTTGAAGAAGAAATGTGTAGCAGAACTCTTTGTTTTCTGTCCCAGTAATCATCTCACGACCCCACAGATGTGCTTTATGACCTTTTGGAGGGGCCCGAACCCTTAGGCTTAGAACTACTGTACTACCTAACAGTATATGAAGTAGCTAAAATTAGGTCCACTGTGACATGCTACTCTAGGAAAACACTGTTCATGCATAAATCCATCAGTAACAACAGTCGTGGAAAGCAACTAAATCTATTTACTCAAGTACTGCTTTAATGTACAATTTTCAGGTACTTGTACTGTACTTGAGCATTTCCATTTTATGCTACTTTCTACTTGTACTCCACAAATGTTGTACTATTTACTCCACTACATTCATCTGACTGATTTAGTTACTAGATACCTTTCAGCTAAAATTAATTACATAAAAAAAATTATAAAATGCACTGCATTGTTTTATATTACACCAGCGGTGCCAGCTTTTTTGGCTTGTGACTGCTTATAAAAAGTCAGTGTGTAATTTGCACCCCTTTTCTATGACTTGTAAGCAGAGCCACCAAAGAAACATTTCCCCTTTCAACATCTCAGATGGTTTAATTTCAAATCTTATCCAATCCACACAATTTTTCACAAAAAAAGCAAAGCTACACCAGTAAAATGCTGTTTACACATTGATGCATCAGTATTAACAGTCTACTAATGTAATGTATAATAGTCTAACAATAACAGGGTTCACCTTTCTGCAGAATGAATACTTATTTTATTTGACTGATACATTTTTACTTAAGTAGGATTTTAAATGCAGGACTTCTACTTGTAATGGAGTATTTTCGCATGAATGTACTGAAACCTTTACTTAACTAAGTGGTCTGTGTACTTCTTCTGGAAAGTTTGATGTCAGGTGTTATGGTCAATTATAAACTGGTATTTGAAGGATTTACAATATTGCAGCTTTAGCTCTCTCTAAATGATAATAGAGGAATCACCGAGGAGGAGCAGGGAAAGCATCTTATTTTTGTTGACTAATGTCCCTCTAAGGTGCTGGCATAAGTGTTTTTTGTGATTTAGGGATTTGGTAAAGTATAGTGGAAACATGTACTTGTTGCCAGCATATATAAGGAAGGTTGGTAGTGAGTCTGCTGCTGTGTGACTGTCCAGAGTCACTGTCAGACCATGGAAACAAAACAGACTCGCATCCATGCAGGTAGGCTGGCCGGTGCTTTTTATTTCATATGGAGAGTAGTCTTACAAAAAATTACTGAAACCTGAATGCGTACCTTTTATTTTAAAGACATCTTGCATTTAAAAATGCAAGTTGCTTAGTTTCATTAAATGTCATCAGGCATGAATTTAGAAGTAGGCTATTTGATGGCATTTAGGTTTGTTCAGTAAAAGTCTTATTGTGGCAAGCAGTGGTGGAAGTAAAACTTGCACTACCATAGTGTAGAAATACTCAGTTACAAGTAAAAGTCCTGCATTTAAAATTTTACTGAAGAAAAGTACCAAAAGTAAAAGTACTCATGATGCAGAATGGCCCATTTTTGATGCTGGGTGGTCATTTTAATATATATTATACACTTCTGGGTAGCATGTAAATTTCCTCTCTTGGATCAATGAAGTCCTCTCTTCTATTAACCCTTAAACACTCATGCTTTGTATTATTTTTTAATCTGAATCTGCCATGTAACTTAAGTTATTTATTTTACTTCTGAAATGTAGTGGACTAGAAGTGTAAAGTCATAGAAAATCGAAACACTCAAGTAAAGTACAAGTACCTAAAACTGTTTAAGTACAGCACTTGAGTTAATGTATTAAATTGATAATAATACAATTTTAATGTAGGTACAAACAAAAGGATTGACCCCACTGTGATGCTCTTGTCCTTGCAGTGCAGCAGGCCAGCTTTCTGCTGAGGGCAGCTCTGCTCTCTGTCCTGCTGTGCGGCCCACAGCACGTGGCGTCAGACTCAGATGAGGCGGTCCTGACCGAGTGGGAGATCTGGAAGAGCAGCCATGGCATATCCTACGATGACATGGTGAGACTGACTCCAGAGCAATAATGCAAACACCAACAGTAAGTGCATATATGCTCTGATTCTGTGGTGTGTTTGTGTTATCGTGCAGGACGACATGCAAAGGAAGGCCATCTGGGAGCAGAACAAACAGATGATTGAACAGAATAATCAAGGGTTTTTCATGGGGATGAGGCCGTTCACCATGAGCATGAATAAATATGGAGACCTGGTAAAGACTACTGTTATCTTCTCTTTGTTAAAAGCTCCACAGCCTACAAACTTAAATCAAAGTCACACAAAGCTGCAGTTCAAGGCTATAATGAGTAAATATAAAGCTTTCATAGCTTTAACAAACATAAGTTTAAAAATTATTGACTAAATTATTGATAATTGCAAACAGTAAAAACTTCTAAATGTTTTCTGTATTTTCAATACAAATCCAAATGTATATATTTAATACAAAAACAACATTATTACATTATAATGTATTCATTAAGTGACAACTATTCAAACTTACAGATGCTAAGCATACTACTATTGTACTGTAGTTTGGTGATTGTTTTATTGTTAAATTACTTTATAAAGCAGATAAAAAAAGTTGCTGATGAGGTCTTAGACTCACACAGGAATAGTTTAACATTTTTGAAGAGTTAGATCAGAAGGCTGACACATCTCTCATATCTGCCCGTTCAGTCAGCAGCCAGTTAGCTTAGCTTAGCATAAAGATTGGAAAGAGGAGGAAACAGCAAGCCTGGCTCTGTCCAGAAGGTTACTGCTCCCCGCAATGAAATATTCAAGCCATAGCCCCCTGTAAAACCATTAATTGCCGTTTTCTCCATATGTAGACAAGACAAGAATACCAGGTTTTGCAAGGTGCGATGATTAATGCCCAGTTCGTGAAGCGAGGGAAGGCTGTCTCTGCCCGAAGGCTGCGTCACAATGCTCAAAAGTTAGACTCTTTGTTTGTCGACTACAGGAACATGGGTTACGTTACTGAGGTGAAAGACCAGGTAAGAAATTCCTAAATTCACTTTTAGTGTGTTTTTATCCAGACTGAATCGTGAACATCTTCAAATCTACTGTGTGTTATTGATAGGGTTACTGTGGCTCATGCTGGGCCTTCAGCACTACGGGAGCTATTGAGGGACAAATATACAAGAAGACAGGTCAACTTGTATCTCTTAGTGAACAAAACCTGGTGGACTGCTCCAGAGATTACGGGACCTATGGCTGCAATGGTGCCTGGATGGCCAACGCCTACAACTACGTGGTCAGCAACGGGCTGCAGGCGACAAACACCTACCCATACACCTCGGTGGTGAGGCTCAACCGGCTGGCTCCGCCTCCATCAGAACAGTTACAACTGTTAATAATTATTCTGTGTCTAGTCCGCCGGTAACTTTTAACTCTGTATTTCTCTCGACAGGATACCCAGCCCTGTTACTACGACAGCAGACTTGCAGTTGCTCATATCAAAGACTATAGGTTCATACCCAAAGGAGATGAGCAGGCTCTGGCTGATGCTGTGGCAACTATCGGTCCAATCACAGTAGCCATTGATGCAGATCATTCAAGCTTCCTGTTCTACAGCTCAGGTTAATTGTCTAATAATACTCCTTCTAGTTAATCATTATGTCAGCAATTAAAATAAGACTGCACTGTCTCTACAGTTAACCTTAGCTTTATGGAGCTTTTTTGTGTCTTTCAGCTCACTGTTTTGGTCTGCATCTTTACAGTTTTGTTCATCAACTTTGTCTCCAGCTGCAGCAGGCAGCTGAAGTGTAAACCCACGCTACCTGTCCAGTACCAAACAACAAAACAGACACAGTTAGCAATTAGCTGGTGAACATGTTGGAGCATTTAGCAGCTAAAGAGCCAGATATTTCCCTCAGGAGTTGGTACAGAGCAAAACAGATGATAATGGAGTGAATATTGGATATAATAAATGAATGATAATGTTGCTCTGTATCTACTGGATGATAAGCAGCTGTTTGCTAACAAGTTTGCCATCCCAAATTGAAAGATAATATGACAGCTTGTTAACCTCAAGTGGCCAAACAATCAACTAATGCAGGTGGAAATTTCCTTTGCAGGAATATACAATGAGCCCAACTGTAACCCTAACAATCTGAGTCACGCAGTGCTGCTGGTTGGCTACGGCTCTGAAGGAGGCCAAGACTACTGGATCATCAAAAACAGGTCAGAAAAAAACTTGTTGAACATTATATTTTATGTTACATAGCAACTGTTTCTTGTATTTTGTTTTAACTTGAAACGCTGTTTTTTCTTTTTAGTTGGGGTTCCAGTTGGGGTGAAAGCGGCTACATGCGAATGGTCCGAGATGGCAGAAACACTTGTGGCATCGCGAGTTATGCCTTGTACCCTATTCTATGATGATAATAAGATGCCTCAGTCGAGTGTTAATGATAAACTCTTCCGCTGGACTGTCAGTGGGTCTCAGAAAACAACATCAGTCATTGCTGATGTAGCCTGTATCACCTCTACAGCTCTCCTGTCCTATTATCTGAACCTTCCGCTGAACCTTACTGACTCTTCAGCCTTTTACAGTAAACACATTACTTCTCTCATGGACGTAGTATACATACTACAAGTTTTATTGGTGTAACTCAAAAATATGAACAACCGCAATTTAAGTCATTCAAGTGAGACTATGTATCTTTGGACAGAAGTAATAACACAATCCTTCACTTACAAATAAAAAGTTGCATTTGTAAGTAATAAAATACACTACTGTATTTTATATACTACTTCACAACCTTTCTTGGTGGCTAATTTTGACTAATGTTAGCAAAATGTATGACCGCTCCCCACTTGCTACATTAGCTTAGCATTTTAGCTAAATGCTAAACAGTTCAGCATTAAGCATTATCTCATAAAGGTCAGGGCACACCAGCATTAAAGCAAAAGAATTAAGTGGTGAAATCAATTATTTTAATGGAATCTTTAGTGGTTTTGCTCATGAGGACACTGTGAATGTGCACTCATATTTCCCTCTTCAATAAAACTATTTATTGACTGAAATGATGAACAGCCCTGGGAAGTGGGGAGAAAATGGTACAGAGAAAATAGAAAGAAGCTCCTATAGCTATTGTGACTGACTAGCACCAGTCTGTTCCTGGCTGTTGAGGGTGTTAGCAGTTAGCTCGCCGGCTACAGACGTACATCAACTAGCCCTGCACCAAGCTTCAAGAAGCAAATACTTCACAAAGACTTGTGGATTCATTTTGCTGTGGCACTTTCTGGCGTGACCAGGCCTTAACTGTTACTTGCAGCTGCAGTGGCTGTTGTGCCATAGTCTTGCTACAGTAAAGTAGATAAGTTATAATTATTCATTGCCATTGATTTTGTAGACTATACCAAAGAAAAGTAAATCCCCTGCTTGTGAATTTCACAGTTTGTTACAGCAACACTTTTTGTACTGACCAGAAATTACATATTGAGAGAGGGGGGGGGGATAAAAGGGTGGTGGGGGTGTGGGTGGGGGACATGCATTATAATTTAAATCTGAGCCTGGTGGCCTCAACTTGTGTCTGTTTTAGACAGAATAAATAAAATGGTGCTTTGTATTTTCAATGCTAATAAATGTTTCAGTTATTTTCTACCATTATAAGCAATATTTTATCAGTTACTTACTGGATCAACTGAAATGTTTTAACCTCTTGACTGTGTAATAAAGTGCTAATCATTTTCTTTCAAGTGTATTTGTTACTTGCTCTGTTCAACCAAGCATAGTTCACATACATGCTCCACCACTTCCCAAAGACCTTAATACCTGCACATGCCACCACACCTCATTGAACTTTGAGCCTAAGTGTGCTCTAGCTGTCACTCATCCGCACTTACTGTTTCCTTCTTCATGTGTCTCACATAAAAAGCTCAAAGGTTCGACTGTTCCAGGGTTTACCTGGCAGGAGGAGGAGGCACTCTCTGAGAGAGAGAGAGAGAGAGAGAGAGAGAGAGAGAGGGGATATTTCACTGCTAAACTCACATGGCTTTCTGAGCAACTTATAATGCAGCATAATATATGTTTGCTTTGCAGTGTTGTTTGGTCGTTTTTGCTTTGCTTTGATCCGGTCTGTCCCTCTGCTGAGACACATTCAAAGTATAGGCATGACAGACAGATCCATGAGAAGGCACACAGCACAAAAAGGTTCTGTGATCCCTCCTTCAGCAACCAGACAGCAGGTGCTATCACTCAGGTAATGCAGCTCTTTGTTGGGTTTCCTGTTGCACATTACAGTTTTTACACATTTGTTTTACACTTTTTTTGCTGTGGTGTGAACAAGGTCAAGAAATCAGCGTTACACTTGAAAGCGTTCCCTTTCAGAAGATTTATTTTATTCTGACATGTGAGCATGTAAAGCTTTAGAGAACATCACTATCACTATCAGACATGCATGTCATTATGTCTCAGGAATAAATCATATTTTTATGGTATCCCAAGCTCAATGCCAGATACTCGACTCTTCATCAGGGTACAAGTTGTTCTTGTAAATGTCCTTTTCTAACACCCTCTCTTCAGTACTTTTCTCTCTACATGTCACACCCTGATTTACAACTCCGACCAGTGGAGACAATTTATTTTCTTAGTGACAAATGCATCTGATATGCATGCAATTAATAAAAATAAGTTCACATGCTCTTGCAGTTAATCACTTTTCAGCGTGATTACTTAGTGATAACAGGTTTCTCCAAAGTAGCTCAGTGGTGTTGATGTCCCACAGTCCACTGCTCAGCTCTCTATGTCTGGACAGAAGTGCAGCTCTGGCTTCTACAGAGTACAGGCTGGGCCACACCGGGGTCAGTGTGTGCCATGTAGCTGCAATGGACTCTCCAATGAGTGTGATGTGCATACAGGGAACTGTGTGGTTGGTGTACACACACACACACACACACACACCCACACACACACACACTGGCATTTGTTCAATTGTTGATTCGCATCATAAAGGTTGGGGCATTTTGGGGCCAACTATACGCAAAACACGTTCATGTTGTGTTTCATCTAACTGACCTCCAGAACTGTCAGTTCAACACCACCGGGGACCACTGTGAATGGTGTGAAGAGGGTTACTATGGAAACGCAGCCCACAGGACCTGCCGTGCCTGTCCATGCCCGTTTCCATACAACAAGTCAGTCACTTTTTATTACCCAGCTCCACCAAGCTCCACTGATTGTTGCTCTGCATCAGAATGAAGATCTCATTCCTTCTCTCTGTAGTTTTGCTCTGGCCTGTCTGGACATTGGCGCAGTGGTGGTAGAATGCTTGTGTAAACACGGTTACAGTGGAGCCAGATGTGAGAGGTGCGTCTGTTGTTCAAGAAGCATTGTTTATATTGCAAGATTATTGTCAGTGCACCAAAATTTTGCATCCTAATATGAATTGCCCACTGCTACAAGTCACACAATTTATTTTAGCACATAAAATAGGTCTGATAAAAAAAAAAAAGGGAAGCTCAAAAGCAAACATTCCTTCTTGTTGCTACTATCTTTAAGATGTGCGTTTGGTTTCTACGGCAATCCAATGGCGCATGGAGGCAGCTGCAAGCCCTGCAACTGTAAGGACGGCACCTTGAACATTTGTGACTCTCTAACTGGAGGTAGATATACATTTTCACACAACAGACAACTAAAAGTTTAACAGAAATGGATTTCAATTAAACAGAAAGTCATAATCAGTTTTCCTAATATACTGAATGTGTTTATAACTAATTGAGAGTCATTCCTTACAATAATTTCTTACAGTAATTATGTTTTGATGGATTACATGATGAGCACACATATGTACTATATACCCACATTATCTCCATGCTCGAGTTTGTAATGCAGGCTCTCTGGTATAAACTCTCTCAGCCCGAGCTGACAGAACTACAGAAGACATCATATATCTGTTATGACAGGCTGAGTAGAACGTCTCCTGGCTAGTAAACCGACCTCAATGTGATGAGATCCACTAATAATATTTCCTTTTAACAGAGTGCATCACATCTGCTGACAGCAGTTGTGGTGATCACTGCCATGGTGAGTTTATGTTGAAAATTCCTGTTACGTTTTGACACCAAGAGGTGCCTAAAAAAACACAGTCTGTCAAGTGAACTGAACATATTTTGTGTTTTATCCTCTGCTTGTTTTCACTGACAGAATGTGACAGCTGCTCTGTCGCCTTACCAGTGGACTTGGAAAGGATGGACGATGCTCTGGCTTTGCTGAAGCAGCAGCTGCAGAATGTCACTAATGGCCCCAGTTCACCCTCCGGGCTGAACCACCTGGAGGCTAACATCTCTGAAACGAAGGTGCAGTTAATGCAGGTTTCAGGTGTCTGCGTGTGTAGTTATGAACTGTCCTTTAAACATTTTCTAGAGTTTGCCAAAATAAAAACATCCCTGAACTTCTGTTATATTCATATCACACAACAATTTTTCTCCATGTTCAGAGTACACATCCCCTGTTTTGCAGACTCTGGTTGGCAGGTACAACACTGCTGTGAAATGCCTGGATCCAAAGGTTGAACAGCTGGAAGCAGATGTGGATGATGTCGGAGATGACTGGAGTCATCTGACTGATGAGGTACCCGGAGTGAATTTCCCTCAGTTAATCAAACTGAATCTCCATCAGGAGTTTAGGAGGATAATTACAACTTCATGAAATTGTAAAGAGAATTATTGTTTGAATACTGCAGGAGATATTATTATAAACTGATTACATCACATAAGTCAGAAAACAACAAACCATAAAACAATGTCATCTGAAACCTGCTGCTGAGCTTTACGGGCTCTCTTTTTAGTGCAGAGTATAAATAATTAGTATCACCTTTCCAGACACTTGAAACTGTATCAGATCTGGGGATGGTCTTGCAGAGTGTGAATGGAACAAATTTAAAGGCAGAGGAGCTTTTCTCTGAAGCTGAAGCTCTCCCCACAGCAATACAAGGTAAATCAGTATGTGTTTTAAAACCATAAGGAAAGCTGTCTCAAATAACAGTCTCACATTAACAGAAGACAGAAAATATATTGTTAAGCATAAGCAAGTATCCTTTACTTTATAAATCTCTGACTGCGCCGAGACCAGCAGATCATTCCTGCCGCTCCTGTCCAAGACTTTGTGGGACTGAATGATTGAAGTCAAAGTGAGCATTAGCAACAGGTGTGTCATTAACAGCAGTGTCTCTGTTATTGTGGTTTGTCAGATTTGATAAAGCAACTAACTGAGGTGAAACCTGGAGCGTCAGTTACTCTCTCTGAAAACAACAAAGCCAGGATGATGGAGGAGGGTCAGCGCATCATGCAGGAAATAAGAGAAAGAAGCTGCTTTGTTCAGAGAGGCAAAGCCGGGAGAGAGCGGGAGGAGGCACAGAGATGTGAGATTTTTTTCATCTACTTGTTGGGGAATTTCTGGCATAGAGCTTGTGTTCTGTTTCTGGATCGACTGGTGCAGAGGCTAGTTCCACTCCCTTTGTGAAGTAGGAGGCACTTCACAGAGGACAGGCCACTTTCACAACTCTCCAATCTTTGATACTGCAACCACTAACAAACACAGATGGTTTGTTTATCACATATCTGCTGGGTTTGATTAACAACAAAATGGCACTTTGGCACTTTAATTCAGGAAAATAAACTTTCTCCTAGATCTAGATAGTCTGACATTTTGGGAAATATGTATGTTCACTGTCTTTTGAGAGTTAGATGAGAAGATCAACACCACTCTCATGTCTGTACTATGAAA